TGATCCTCTAGAGTATATTTTTTGAAAAGTTGATAACTGATTTTTCATAGTTTGGACTTTGGAGCTTCGCCAGAGATTAGAGCAAACTTGTCCAAAATTTCTTTAATTTTTAGACAAGAATTAATTGAGGTCCTTGAGTCATCAACGAATAGGAGAATGAGAATTTTGGGCCCTCCTCTCGAAATTGCACAACCAGATTCCTTCTCAAGCTTTCTAGTAAGTCTCTGCGCATAGAACAAAAATATAAGAAAACGAGTCTTCACGAACGTTTTGTATTCCAAATCTCAGTCATCGGAAAGTGAGTCTCCACAACAAATGCGGTGCTTTGGAAATTTGAACCTCTGTTAGTCGTCAACATCATCAAAATACCTGCTCTATGCACAATGTCATAGGCCAACTTCATCGAACCGTAGGGGCGGAGGCTGAACCAGCGGTAATACCACCTTCTTCGGAGATGGAATCTTCAAAAATTCAGCAGATGGCTTAGAAGGTGTTGGAGTTACAACGGAGTGAGAGGAGACCGGTTTTGGAGTTGATGCAGGATTGACAAAGAGAGTTAATAAGGAATGGCTGGACGAAGATGAAAGCGAATTCAATCCGTCCAAATTGATTTTTGGTCCGTCCAATCCGTTCAAATTGATTTTGGATTGAACAGATCCAGTCCAAAACCAGTCCATTGAGACACCCTTACCGATCGCCAGTGGTGGCAATGTGAACTCTTTGGTTGGTGATCACCAAGTTACCAAACGTGGGAATCAAAGAAAATTCAAATGAGACTACGAAGGGAATCCGTGGAAAGAAAATATAGTTGGAGAAGGAAGATGAAAGGTTTTCAAACCGCCATTGACCTGGACGGTCGGACTGTTTGGCCTGCTAAGCGTTCAGGCAACCAATTCCGTTTTACCCCAAACCCGGTATTTTGTCAAAAACCATTAAAAAAATCAACAACCCGTTGACTTGGGCTGTCGAACCATCGACTCATTGACCCATTCAATAGTTTTGACCAATTTTTAATTTTAACTATTTTTTATTTTTTTAATTTGTTTGTCTGAATGGACTATCTGTTCGAACCAGACAGTCAAACTATCAACTTGAAAACCGATGGCCAGAATGATTCCATTTCCAGGATGTTTTTTAAAACACTGGTATAAAAGACTACATAAGATGGGGTAGCATGTCCCAAAGTCAGAAAAACAAATATATGTTAAGGACCAACTAGTTCACGGCTTGATTTGCTTCACGATACACAAGGCGATAAGACACTCATCTCTCAAACAATCCAAGACTCGGCCAAATTAATAATGATGGTATGAAGCTTAAAAGCTTTAATATCAAGAGAATTGCATAAATGTTATTGTAGGCTTAAACAGTTGCACATCAAAATTTACTTTAACAAAACCAAATTGTGGGCTTTTCAACATTATGGGTCTCCATGTTCGTCTTCTCTCCAACCATTCTATCAAGAACAAAAATTTCATTCATTTTAAAATCCTCCTTAACAAAAGAAGGGTTACAATTAATGATTTAATTAGTTATTTCATATATAGATGACACATCTACCCATTTATCATTCCAGAAATTTATAGATTTTTCATCTCCAATAATCCACCCAATACCACAATCTATCAAATTCTCAAGCCCAAGCCCAAGAAATGTCTTTCTTAGTTTCTGCATTCCAGAAATTATCCTCTTTAAATATTTATTTGATACAACATGAACCCATGAATTATTTTTATCATTTAAAATTTTCCGCCCAAGTTTAGAAAGATTTGCATAATTCACCCAATACAATTTTTTTTTAATCCTAAACCACCCTATTTTTTAGGCATATAAACTTTAGTCCAACTCATCAAATGCATGGGCTTTCTATTATTATTACTTGACCATAGGAAATTCCTCTAAGATTTATTAATGTACTCAATAAAATTATTTGGGATTCTAAAGGATCTCATAATAAATTAAGGCATCGTACTAGAAGAGCCAGAGAGGGAGTTTTCTTTTTTCAACCTCCTACTTTACTATTAAATTTTTTTTTCTTTGAGATCCTTAAATGTTCTCTTGGAAACATGAACATTAATGGTAGGGGGGCACACAAATAGGAGTAAGCCCTCAATTCCAAAGGAATTGTCAAGATTTTAGATATGATCTTCTGTATTCTCATGGGAATGTTCTTTGAGAACCCTAAAGTCAACTTAAAGAAATTTGAACTTTGACCCGAAGCAACAGAAAGATTTTGAAGAATTTCTTTAATTTTCAATCAAACTGAAATAGATGATTTTACAAAGATTAGACAATTATCATTAAATTAGAGAATGGGAGTACATGGCCCACCTCCTGAAGCAGAACACTCAATAGGGCTCTCAAAATTATTTGCTTCAACTTCAAAGTTTTTGCAAGAACCTTGAGAGAGAGAGAGAAATTTTCTTTTTTAGGGACAGGCTGATTCGTACTAGTATAACTTAGCTTACTTGATTACATTTATCTAAAAAACAAAAGTTAATTAAATTTACCATAAATAATTAATTTATTTCATCTTTTGGTATCATTAATTAGCTTAAACTCAGGTTAATTAACTTCAGTCCTTAATAATTTAATGCCTTATATCTATATCTATACTATATAAAGGTGGATATTTGCCTTTGGTTATGCACAAGTCATAAAAGTTAAATCCAAATGCCATATCAGTATCATATATCGTTAATGTTTACTTACACATGCACATATTCTCGTTCTAGTGTTTTTAATAAGTTAATTAATTACCTTAAACAATAATGAACCTAAGCCAATTAAGTATTTCATTCAGTCCTTAATAATTTGGATATTATTTTTCAAAGTATTTTATTCCCTCATTAAGTCCCATAATTAAAGCATTAACACTCGTTCTCACTCCTTGAATCCTATATCTAAGGTATTTTTGCCTCTCATCAATAAACTCCACTAATTAGATCTATAAACACCAATGCTATTAGTAATAAAACATATATTTTTAAATTGACATGAAAACAAACCAGGTTTTTCTAGGTGGAAGGTAAGAAATTCAATCGTTTGGCTCAAAACAAATGAATCCATGATGCCATAATTAAATGCTAAAATTTAAAAAATAGACCAAAATACAAAAATAAATAACATTGTAAAAATATTTGGGCACATCTCTAATATTATATATTTGTCATATTAAACAAAACTAAGTATGATAAATAAGAAATACTTTTATTAATAATGGAAATGGAATGCAAGATTTAAAAACTGATACAAAAATGAAATTTTTTTCCTCCTTCAATGATCTAATTCTTCAAATCAATGGATCAATCTATGATGTCATAGTTAAATAATAAAATTTTTAAAAATAAAAAAATACATAAAATTTAGACACACTTTTAAAATTATATATTAATTCATATTAAAAAAGATAAATGTGCCAAACAAGAATTATTTTTATTAATGATGTAATGAAATACAAAATTTAAAACCAAATAAATCGTTGTCCAAGTCAAATGGTTCAACCCATGATGTTATAATTAAATAATAAAATTTTAAAAAGAAATATAGAAATACAAAAATAGAATTTTTTTGTAAAGCTGTGGCATATCTCTAATATTATAAAGCCATCATATTAAAGAAAATAAGTGTGATGAATAAGAATCATTTTTTATAGATAATGAAAATGAGATGCAAAATTTAAAATTGTCTCAGAAAGAAAATTGTTTTCCATTCAATGAATGTGGTCTAGGTGAACTTAGGATGGCATAATTAATTGATAAAAATTAAAACTAGATATAAAACAAAATGCTATAGAAAAGAACATAAAAATTTTATATAAAATTAAAAGACATCCCTAATATGATGCATTCAGAATATTCTACAAAAATAAGTGTCATAAACAAAAATTGTTTTTATTGATGATGGAAGTGGACTAAAAAATTAAAATCCATATAGAAATAAAACCATCGTATGTATTATGTCAAACAAGTAAGTTCATTATTTCATAATTAAAAAAAATAAAAAAGTAGATTAGAAAGATATATAAAATATTATAGAAAATATAGAAATTTTATAAAAAACCTAGACACATCTCAAATATAAAATATTATCTGAAATTACACATTTACTAGTAACTTAATTAAACCTGCAGAGCCACTCTTAAACAACCAATTAACTTAATAAACTTAATTAAATTTATTTAACTTAATTAATTAGCTTAATTAACCTAATCTAATTGACTTGACTTAACCAACATAAAACACCTGACATAGACAACTGTAGTTAATTTAAATTAGTTACCATTATCTAAATTAATTCAATTACATAATTAAGCCATGTCAATGCCTGGATTTATAAAAGGCAATAGACAAAGTTGACCCAGCATGAACCTGAGTCAAACTAAAGCGATCCAACTCAATATTACAAATTAAACCATTTGGTTAGTGGTGAACAACTTGCCACTTGTGCTAATTTGGTTTCTAAAGAGTATTCTAAAATATTTATTAAGAAGCTAAAAGGAAATAGGGCCCCTATGCCCAAATGGAGACCCAAGACACAAATGGTAAGAAAACCCATTCTCTCTCTCTCTCTCTGTACATCGACAGCCATCTTCTCGGACATTCAGACGCTTGACCACGTGCTTACACTTGGAAGGACACTTGCATCCTTCGGAATGAAGCAATTTTTTTTAGGCTTGCCAATAGGGCTGTAAAATGTTCATACACATCTAATATCCTTGGATCAAAAATTCAATCTGCTGATATGTTTCGTAAATTAAGAATTTGATATTTTTGATCCCCATTAGGCATTAGATTTGGAATTGGGTGCTTAATAAAATTAACAAAAACCAATTAAAAGTGGTTTGCAAGAACTTGGACCATAACAAGTTTTAACTAAAATCAATAGATAGACCAACCTACAACAATAAGACAGGATTTTCAAGAATTTTTGTACTCTTTTGGTTATAATTATCAGTGTACATACACATTCTGGTTATAATATTACCTCAAAGTTTTAAATTGACAAAAAAACTCACTTGTTTCATATCCAAAAATATACAAATGACAGCAAAATTATCAGCAGTAACAGTATTCATGGATTCTTGAAATATCATCATCCATAAAGTAACATTTGAGACATGCAAATTCTGAACTCTATGCACGCAATCTGTCATTACAATTGCTGATATACTCCAGGATGACGGGATCGTCACTTAGAAATAATTTAATGTGGATATCTCTTTCCACACAGCTCCTACCAATAACTGTCAAGCTTTCATGCACACTGAATTCAAGCGGGAGATGAAAAGTTGGCATGTCAAGCTTTCTTTGGTGGTGAAAAAAACTATGATGTACATATTTACAGAGGACAAAAATTAGCAGTAAAATTGATGTCACTGAGGAAGCCTGTCAATTGCTTCTATTGCTGCAACACAACTTTGATCAGGATGCAAGTATTTTTCATATGTTACTTTCAATGGTCCCCTTGCAGCAGCCTTCTGGAATTTCAAAATCATATCTGCGCATTCTCTGCATATTAAGCCCAAACAAATGTAATTCAATGCTTACTCATTGCACATCAAACACAGTTACGTGCACCTAAAAGATTAAAAACACACCTGAGTTCTGATTCTTCATAGTGTGTATGTCTGCTAAGTAGTGTAGTCCAAGCAGGAGCTATTTGCAGTGTACATCGTGCGACATATATAGCCGATGCACATAGCAAGGATGGTTTGAATTTTAAAGCTTCATATTCAACTAGGGACAGCTCAATAAGGTAGAAAGCGAGATGCTCAAGCTGGTCAAGAACCCAAAGAACAAAATTAAGTTTCCATAATTTTTGTTGCAGTAATAAAATGGACCTTTTGAATGTTATCAAGAAATTTGCACCAAAATCCAAACAAAGACAAGGAAAAGTTAAAATTCAACAAGTGTATCTTGGACCTTCATTTCAGACTGAGCAGCCTTGAGAAACCTTAACATGAACACATATGGAGTTGGCACATTCAGACGGAACATCAACTTCTTGAGAATAAGACTCTCCTGAAAAGAGGAGCAATTTTACTACTTTGTTAAGACAAAAACAAGATAGTTGGGGAAAATAAACATAAGATGCAAACCATTGCAAGCATTTCATTTCTTGTGTATGAATCAGCTGAGATGCTAATCAAATCCTTGACCTGTATTAATTAGAAAAATTGGTCAAAACATAAGTTATTTTGTTACCAGTAGCATAAAATTAATTTAGAAAATAGATCATAAAAATCTTTTAGACATGGACAGGTATATGTACCTTTGGATGCCAAAAGTCCTCATATTTTGATGCTAGCAACAGTGAAGTTAGGCTAACCAACTGCATTTCCTTCTTTTTAATTATATACACAGAAAGGAATCTGTCCAACAATGCCACCATGAGAAACAACGTTTCTTGCATCAGTCCAAATTTGTAGTGCACCTGTAACAAAGATAAAAGTTTTACTGCTCAATTTGGTTGCATAAGGCCAAAAGAGACAAGTTTGTAAAGTTGTAAACAACTAAGGGAAAACATGAAATTTAAATTGGTAAGCAGCACCATTGGAAGAAAGAAAATAGCATAAGAAAATTGTTAGTATGATGGGGCTTGTCCATTGCACAGACCTCAAATCATTAGAGAAAAATTCATGAACAGGGGCTCTTGTGCAAATACAGGGGATTATGGGGTGTTACATACTGTCCTGTTGAGATTTAAGGGACATGATGGCCAAGCCTGTGATGCTAGCATCCACCATGGCAAACTTAGCTTACCTCAATTAGCCAGTTGATCAGTATGCCCCTCATTCTCGGAGTAATCTCTGTCTGTTTCTCCATGTAGTTTACCAGGGAAGGATATTGTGCCTGATATAACAAGTACTTAGTGAAGGGAATAAAAAGTATGAAATTATTTGGCATAAGGATAAGATTCTATATAAACAAAGTGAAAAAATGATCTAATGTTGGTTTAAGAAAGCAAATGGAAACGGATGCTGCAGCAGGGACAAAGTAGAAGTAAGAATTATATATATTTGCAATGATCTATCACTATCTGCAAGGTTTGCAAAAGCAGGAATGCTTACCTAGGAAATATTCAAGAAATTTAAAAATTATGTGCTCAAAGAATTTGCACTCCACAACAGACCAGTAGTCCACTAAACTTTGGTGATGAATGGCATGGATATCCATCTCCCTCTCTAACTTCAAGAAGGTTAGACAAGTTATTTGCAAACTGACATCTACAAGCCAATTTATCCTTCAACCATGCCATCCAACTTCAAGCTGTTGTAATTTGCACTTATAGTGATATAGTCCTTTTACCCTTTGTTATGTTCAGTCCAATAAAACAATGAGTGGGGCACTGCGCCACTGCCACTCAACTTTTCTCTCCATTCCTTTGTCTTTTCTCTATTCTCTCTTACACTTCTTCCAAGACTATTATCAAGGTAACAAAACAGGAAATCTAATTGATCCTTTCCTTTCTTGACTTCATTTTTCTGTTCGCGTGATCAAAAGAAAAGAGACATAACTCAGTTCCCTTGGAATGGTCAAAGGTAGCAAGCCTTTTCTCTTCTTTTGTTCTTTTTCCCTTAGTTGTAATGCCAAGGGCATTCTTTACAGACCTGAGCAGATGACTGGTGATGTAAGACTGCTTTGAAAATGTTTTAGATCTGTTTCTCTGCCAATAGTTTTTATTATATCAAGACCCGTTGGGAATTGGAGGTTGTAGGGGTATGCCTGCAATGTTGATTGTGGATCAGCAATGAAGGTTCCCGTGGTATTTGCTGCATCTGAGTTTGTTTATACAGATCAAAGGGTCTGTTTTTAAAAGTTGTTTGAAGACTGAGAAAAAAGGATGTTTTAAGGCTGATTAATTCCTAATCTTCCCTCGGAAATCATTATTGAAGACTTGTTCTTTTTCCTTATTATCAGTGTTTTTTGGGCTGAGAAAACCAAGTACAAAGCTGGAATATGTGTAAAAAGATTCAGCTGGCCTGCAACTTACCTTTTTTTTGGGTTGATTGTGAAATTTACAGGAATTGATGTTGGTTGACGATGGTGTCACGGTGTACAGATGTCTGGATATCTGATTATCACTTGGCAAAAAGCTTAAATTACTGAAGACTTGTGTTTGTGTGCTAGGGTCTATGTAGACTGGACAGCACCTGTGATCTGTTTGTTTTGAGGCCTGTGTTGGCTGGACAGCACTTCATTTAACTTGTTTCTGATTATGAATATGGCGACAAATGATTCAGCCACATCTGTTATCTCAGCAGCTCAACCAATACCCACTCATGAACAGCACCTCATTTAACTTGTGGTCTCATTATGAATATGGTGACAAATGATTTACCCAGATCTAGCATCACAGCAGTTCATCATATACCCAAATCAAGGGGTTGAATATATATATATATATGATCTGAATCATATAGAGTGGTAAGGTGTAAGATTGTTTGTTGGGGGAAGGACATTTGACTGGTTGCTGAACCTCAAAAGAGTGGACTTCACACATGATAGATGGAAACAAGAGAAATGCATGATCATGTCTTGGCTATAATCATCAATGCAGCACTCTCAGAAGAAACTTTTTCTGCTGAAACTGTAAATGAAATTTTGGATCAAGCAAAGCATACTTATTCAAAACAAAGATGCTATGCGAGAGTGTATCAATTACAATTTTTGGATCAAGCAAAGCATACTCCTCTACTCTTATTTCTATGTCGAAGGAGTTGGGTCATTACTTCTCCACTCTTACATCTATATAGGAGTTGGATCATTACCAATCCATTGATTGAGAAAGCGATGCCAAGGCCAAAGGGCCTACATAAAACTCGTATCTTAGCAGTGTTTGCCCTTACTGATCTTAATCCATCTTAGAGTTCAAATATTGGGAAGCAAGGAATTACCTAGCATACAAGAGGTGTATGCCTTGATTCAACCTGAGAAAACAAAGAATGTGATGAATCCTCCCGAGGAGAAGCAAGTGGCTCTTATAGTTAGAATGGGAAGTAAGAAGGTGGAACAAAGTAAGAAGGCTGAAGAAGATGGTAAGGATAAATTATGTACTCAGCATAGAAGGTCAAGACATACTAAGGACACTTGCTGAGGCATAATATGTTGGTCTTAAAACTTATGCCTTGCCAAATTTAATTAAATTTCTAACATTTTTTAAAAAGGTAAAAATACCACTTTACATATTTTAAAATTAGTGCATTTATAGTATAGTTTTTTAAAAATACCAGTTTATATATTCTAAAGATATTAATGCTATAGAGTACATCGAGAAGTATCCATGCAATATTTGGTATCATATTCGATACCTAGTACACTGGGCATGTACAAGTAGTAAAAATTTAGATGGCTGTAGCCATGGGAATCCTGAGAACTCAGGTGTAGGTGGTGCATTCAGAGATCATAATGGGGACATCAAAATGGCATTTTCTAGACAACTAGGATCTAGAAATTCCATACAAGAAAAACTACAAGCTGTGCTTCAAGGTTTGAAAGAGGCTATTTCCCATGGTTTTGGGGGTCTGATTGTTAAAGATGAATAAAGACTATTATTCTCTGGTTAAAAGGTGAAATGGAGGGACCTTGGAGACTTAGACATCAGGGAAGCAAGGGTTTTGGCATTCAGTTTGGGTGCAGATTTGTCAAGGATGCCTAGATCTGATACTCACCTGCTGGTTTGTTGGCCACGAAGGACTTAGCAAACAGGCCTCAGTCTTGGTGTGAGGTGATTATTCCTTGAATTAAGAGACCAAAATATAGCCTTGTAAGGATGGGGTCCTAAAGGGACTAAGGGGAGAGCAGTATGGACTGCTTCCACGACACAACCTTTTTTGAAGGTAAATAAAAGAAAATTTTGCTAAGACAAAATAAAAGTTCCAAGAGAGGATGGTGATGAGGCATCACCCATTACAATCAGGAAAAAAACAAGTATCAGCAAGCAAAGCATTATAACTCTTAAGTGTTCCAAAAATCTGAACCAAAGTCCTCTCTTTTAACTCCCCCAGTGATTTAAAAGGCGTGATTAGGCGCACAGGCAAGGCGCATTTTAGGGTAGGCGGCCTTGCCCAGGTCCTAGGCGCAGCACTTTCAAAAGGCGCACGACCACACCCCTCAGCTCGCTCACTCACCGAAGCTCCAAGGACCCCCTATTTGCTAATGTTGTTCATTCATTCATCTTAATAAAATATCTTCTTAAAAGGCAATTAAAATTATAAAATCATTATTTTTTGTGAGAGAATTAAGAATTTAAGACCCCAACATGCACTTGTTTGGGCTTGCCTCGAGGGGCGTGACACAAAGGCAACTCGTAGAATCAGGAATTTAATATGTTTTACATCACAATAACTACTTGAAGTATTGTAATTGAGGAAAAAAAGATATTGTGGGCTTTACATGCTTGAAAATGTTTTATATGTTTGATTTTAGTTTTAAATTTTCATTTGAATATGCTTTACATGTTATGTTTATGTATTTTAATTTTAGATAATAGGTTTTTTTAAACCATTAGTTTTAAAATTTAAGTTTATTTGCCTTATTAATATTATGTTTAATATTTTATATTTTTTTCTTTTTTGAATTTTTTGGCTTTTTTGAATTTTTTGACTTTTTTTATTTTTTAGCAATTTTTTGTATTTTTGCACCTTGCTTCAAATAGTGCCCCCTCCCCTCAAAACCTGCTAAAGACAAAACCCAATCCACTAGCTCTGAGTCCATGCCACCACACAGTTTTTCTAAATTCCTTGATTCCTATAAAAAATTCTTCCATTCCTATCCTCCTCACCTTCCAGCACACTGCAAATGGAAAATGGATCCAAAAGGTTTTCACTTTCTTATTACCCCTAGAGGTGTAAAGTGGGTCATGCCAGGCCAGCACGACACGGCCGCCATAGGTCGTGCCATCCTCCCCAATGGAAATTTTGGGGGTCGGCCCGTAATGGGCCACAACCCAGGCCCACGCGAGCCCGTGCTGTACCGGCACGTGGGCCTAGGCCATACAGGGCTGGGCAACAAGGCAGGCCTTGGACCTGGGTCGAACCGGGCTGCACTCTTTTTTTTTAATTTTTTATTTATTTTCTAAGTAAAATTGTAAAACTAAAATATTTAACTTCCCTATGAACTTTGGGAATTAGGAACTATTTAAAAAATTAAGAAATAAGAAATTTAAGTTATTTAATACATAAATGAAAAAAAAATACTTAACCAAATTGAAATAAGAATGATGGAATAACAAATTGGAAGAAAAATAGGAATTTTATTTCATTTAAATTTGAATGGTACAAATTAGTGAATTACAAATACAATGATTGGATCATTGCATACTTGGATNAATAGGAATTTTATTTCATTTAAATTTGAATGGTACAAATTAGTGAATTACAAATACAATGATTGGATCATTGCATACTTGGATGAATGAAATATAAAAATGGAATAAATTAATAAAATATAAAAAATACAATATGGTTACAAATTGAAAATACAAAATTACATTGTTAAAAAATTAAAAAATATATATCAAATAAATTAAATAAAATTTACAAATTTTACAATAATTTGAAAAAATGAAAAATTCTACAAGTAATCAAATTCATGAAGCAGATGTCCGGTGTTGTATCATGCCCTCCCTTGTCTTGTAATCTATCTTTTGCATCTAGCCAATCCTTGAAGCAGATGCACATCTCCATGCTCTCATCGTTCATGCAGCTTCTTTAGTATCACTCCACCAGGCTAAAATATCAAAATTATTTGATACTTCACCTAAATTAGAAAAATTTGCTTGCAAATAAAAATTAAGTTCAGTAAATGAACTTGTTGTAGAACTAGTAGATTTTTGTCTACTTATTAAATAA